GCATACATTAATTAATTTGATCAAACAATCATTTAATAATTGCAAATCATTTTTTCCTACTGGAATATTTTGGGGAATTAAGCAAAATAATTTCTCTACAGTTCACTGGTCAGCACATACACCGACCAGAGCAGCATCGACTGGAAGGTAGGAAACATTCATGTTGAGTGAAACATGGATATAATGTTACTATTACTGCAAACTGTTGATCTAGTCCTGTAATCATTCCTAGCTCCATGTTTTAAAAAGTCCTATGACTGAGCATTGTAAGGACATTATTTAAAGAAAAAAAGAGAAGAGAAATACAGTAACAAGGCATATAAACATCATACAGTGTGGAACCCCTCTGTTTATTAAGGAAAATCATCCCACTTTTGCTTTAATATGTAGCTCTAAGAAAGAATTGCCTGCAATAACATACACACACACCACGCACAGTAATACACAGTAACAGAAGGTTGTGAGAACAGTGTCTATGTATAACCTATAAAAGTAACGAGAAGGTGTTCTAACTTGTAGAAGGATCTTAAAAAAGAAACATTTCGTTTTCCCAAAAATCCCGTTTCCTTGTCAGGTGTTTCTCAAGAGTCCTTAGAGTGAGACTAGTACTTCTCCTAGTTTTTTGTTTTTTTTATAACAATCAATAATTTAAATGCTATGACTATAATTCCCTCGAAGCAAGGCAGACGCAAGGGGTTTTCCGTCACTGGTTTATTTGAAGACTTCTCTCCAAAGTCACCGTGAAAACTACACACCATTAACAAAATAAAAACTCAATGTAAGACACAGCACCTAAAATAACACTGTACAACAAAATGAGATATATCAATAAATACCTCGTTGGCTGCATGCTGCAAAAAGGGAATTAGCCAGTCTTCTGAAGTTTCCTTATAAGTGTGTATTTAAAGCCCATTCCACTTAGTGTGACTTTCACTAAAGAACGGCCTCATTCTTGCTCCGCGCTTACAGGTGGTTTTCTCCTTTTTTCTCCCAAAAAGGAAACAGCGCGACTTGTAAGCAAGCTTGACTTTCAAAATAAAAGCACAATAAGTTTAACTACATAAAATAGCATAGCATAAATAATGTAAAGCTTAAACAATTTACAACGATGACATGGACCTTGAGAAGATAAAGAAATAATTCAAATGATATAAACAATGTCATCATGCCAACAACAACATGACCATGCATTGTTTGGACATGGACAATAAGCTGGTCTAAGCTGGCACTACTTCCAAGAACTTTGCAACTTGTTCTCCAATGTGAGCCTTTCTCTTCTTTTTGTAAATATTCCTCTTGACTGTATATATTTCTCTTGTTTGTTATTTATTCCTGCTGTCTTATTACAGTGTTTCTCAAATGCTAAAACACATGTCACACAGCAAATTCAAAAGTGTTAAATGTTTTGGTGTTAATAGTCTTCTTGCAAAAGTAGAGTTAATTTTACTCTAAGCAGAATCACATTCTTTTAATGTAACTCTGAGGTGTAAAATGATAGTAGTTAAAATCGAGTGTTAAAAATGAGTGTTTCTCTGTCAAATCTGGAGGTGTTACAATGGAAA